ACTACTACTACTACTACTACTACTACTACTACTACTACTACTACTACTACTACTACTACTAATACAACTACTACTACTACTACTAATACTACTACTACTACTACTACTACTACTACTACTACTACTACTACTACTACTACTACTACTACTATTACTACTACTACTACTACTACTACTACTACTACTACTACTACTACTACTATAACTACTACTACTACTACTACTACTACTACTACTACTACTACTACTACTACTACTACTACTACTACTACTACTACTACTACTACTACTACTACTACTACTACTATACCACTACTACTACTACTTACTACTACTACTACTACTACTACTACTACTACTACTACTACTACTACTACTACTACTACTACTACTACTACTACTACTACTACTACTACTACTACTACTACTACTACTACTACTACTACTACTACTACTACTACTACTACTACTACCACTACTACTACTACTACTACTACTACTACTACTACTACTATGTTTTCTCGTCCAGCCCAAGCCGTCCAACGTGATGCAATTACGCCACCGAGAGGAACCCCACATACCAATTTTATTTCCCATGTGTACCATCGGTGTTTCTGCTGCTGCTCCTCCTTCCCCTCCTCGGTGTCCTCCTCCTCCTCCTGCTTTTGCTGCTGCTGCGTCTGCTGCTGCAGCTGCTGCTGCTGCTGCCGATGCTGCTGCCCCACCTCCCCGTCCTCCTCCTCAAAGGGCCCTCACCCCCAGCGCACCCCCTTGTGGCGTCGAGGAAATGCCACGCCTGCCACGCCCTGGGAGCCTGCAGCGCATAGGGCCCTCACCCCCAGCGCACCCCCTGCGGCGTCGAGGAAATGCCACGCCTGCCACGCCCTGCGAGCCTGCAGCGCATGGGGCCCTCACCCCCAGCGCACCACCTTGTGGCGTCGAGGAAATGCCACGCCTGCCACGCCCTGGGAGCCTGCAACGCAGAGGGCCCCCAGCTCTATGCGTTACACGGAGCGCATAGGGCCCCCACCCCCAGCGCACCCCCTGCAGCGCCCAGGACATGCCACGCCTGCCACGCCCTGGGAGCCTACAACGCATAGGGCCCCCACCCCCAGCGCACCCCCTGTGGCGTTGTGCTGCGCTGTGCTGTGCTGCTGTGCGGTGAGCTGTGCTGTGCCGTGCTGTGCTGTGCTGTGCTGAGCTGAGCTGAACTCTGCTGAGCAATGCTGTGAAAAGGAGGGGAAGAGTGAGGTGTGTGAGAGAGAGAGAGAGAGACGGAGAGGGAGGTGAGGAGACGCGGGCGCGCCGCGGCAGGGAAGAAAACCAGAACCCCACGAAACAAAACATGTGGGGAATCACCTTGGCTACGAGCCGGCTCAACACTCAAAGGGGGGAGATCCCTCGGTGGTTGCTGGGGTCGGACCTGGCGCCCTTCAGTTTCCACAGCATGATCAATACAGAAGAACATACGAGAGGAGCCCACAACTGGTCGTCTTGAGGGTGCGCAAACATCGCGCGAACTGTCTTCCAAAGCTCTTGTAGCACAAAGGGAGACGCACATCGTAGCAGACCGCCGGCCACCTCATCCGCGCCAAGGGCCGCGCCCCGCACGGCGCGGAGGCCCGCTGCAAACTCGGCGCCATCTGGAGGTGCACCCCACTTCCTCTGCCACCGAGCTCTGCGGCAGGCCGGCCAGTGTCAGCCAGCTCCTCGTTGGGGCTGCCAGCAATGCGGAACATGCGATTACGGAAGTCCTCTGCGGTGATCTGCTCGTTGCCACGGGCGCCATCATCATGGACGTGCAAGCCTAGCTCTCGGACGCGCCGACGCATGCGACCGATGTCGCTACTACTAGCAGCGCACTCGGCTTCTCGGCGCACTTCGCCGACAACCTCTCGATGTAGTCTGCGTTCGTTAGCCCAGGTGGTTCGCTTCACCTGGCGCGTGCGCTGTCGAAAGGCCCCCATCGGGCTCGGCGCCGCGCGCGGCGTGGAACGCCTCCGAAGCTGCCTGTGCCTGGCGCCTCCCAGCGCGGACCTCGCGCTCGTGCCGGGATAGGCACATGCCCTCGCACCGAAGCTCCCGCCCCAGCGTCTCCTCGCCGACGTCCCGGAGCACGCGCGCGAGCATATCCCATCCCAGGAGGAGGGCATCTCCCGCGGCAGGCTGGTCCCGGAAAAGAGCGGCCATGCCCTCATCGGTCACTCGGCGGAACGCCTTTTCGTCGCCCCTCTGCTCCTTGGCTGCACCGTTCGGCGGTGCCCCGCCGCAAGGGCCGCGGAGGACGGTCAGCCGGCGGTAGGAAAGCACCACGACGATGCGCCTCCCGAGCCGCAGCACGACCCGGAGATTTCGGAATAAGAGAGGTCAGCGACGTCACGCGGTGGTCGACGGCATCGAACTGCTGCGCTTTCAAGCTCCTCCAGCGCTGGCGCCCGGGCTCGAGGTCGCTCAGAAAACGGTCGCTCTCATGCCAGAGGCGGTTCACTGGATTCCACCACGCCCCCCGCTAACGACATTGCAGGTGGCCGCCCACGTCGTTCAAGCCGGCGGCGGAGGCCCAGTTGAAGAGCTGGCGGGAGAGCCGCGCCGTCGGGGTGCGGTTCCCGAAGCCGCCGCGCCAGCCGGCAGCAGTGGCCGCGAAATCGCCTCGAAATGCTGGAGCCTGCGCTGCTGCGACGTCTGAGGGGGAACATAGGTAGACGTCAACACCATCCAATTTCCGTGCCACCGACTACGTAGGCTTAACCAGCGATCGCCCTCGTGGTCCTGCTGCTGCCCGTCGGTGGCCCACTGCACGAAGACCTCGCAACTGAGGAAAAAAAACACCGCGCCAACAGCTACCAACGTATACTCCAGCACTGCCAAATATGCACACTGTCCAGCTGACGCCCAAGCAGGCTGCAAAACATCAGAGATGAACATCACGTCAACTTTGTGCATTGTGACAAAATCTACTAAACACGCAAGTGTAATACGACAATCCGGGTTCGACCATAAGGCCCCCTGGAGGTTCAAAGTGACGAAATGGAGCTGTTGTCTACACTTGGGTTGGTTGTGTTATCTATGCTGTTGGCGAAGCCGCACGAGTCGTTCCACGCGCGCCGGAAGAAGCCACTGCCGGCATCGTGCTTCCCCGCCCTGTCGTTGACGAGTTTTACGCACCGAGCGGCGCGAGGGCTCACCAGGGCCGCGACGAAACACAACGCTCGCCCGCCACACCCCGGAGGGTGGGCCTTCCGTCATTTTGGCCGTGGCTGATGCTATAACCGTCGAGACAGGCTGGTCCCGGAAAAGAGCGGCCATGCCCTCATCGGTCACTCGGCGGAAGGCCTTTTCGTCGCTCCTCTGCTCCTTGGCTGCACCGTTCGGCGGTGCCCCGCCGCAAGGGCCGCGGAGGACGGTCAGCCGGCGGTAGGAAAGCACCGCGACGATGCGCCTCCCGAGCCGCAGCACGACCCGGAGATTTCGGAATAGAGGTCAGCGACGTCACGCGGTGGTCGACGGCATCGAACTGCTGCGCTTTCAAGCTCCTCCAGCGCTGGCGCCCGGGCTCGAGGTCGCTCAGAAAACGGTCGCTCTCATGCCAGAGGCGGTTCACTGGATTCCACCACGCCCCCCGCTAACGACATTGCAGGTGGCCGCCCACGTCGTTCAAGCCGGCGGCGGAGGCCCAGTTGAAGAGCTGGCGGGAGAGCCGCGCCGTCGGGGTGCGGTTCCCGAAGCCGCCGCGCCAGCCGGCAGCAGTGGCCGCGAAATCGCCTCGAAATGCTGGAGCCTGCGCTGCTGCGACGTCTGAGGGGGAACATAAGTAGACGTCAACACCATCCAATTACCGTGCCACCGACTACGTAGGCTTAACCAGCGATCGCCCTCGTGGTCCTGCTGCTGCCCGTCGGTGGCCCACTGCACGAAGACCTCGCAACTGAGGAAAAAACCCACCGCGCCAACAGCTACCAACGTATACTCCAGCACTGCCAAATATGCACACTGTCCAGCTGACGCCCAAGCAGGCTGCAAAACATCAGAGATGAACATCACGTCAACTTTGTGCATTGTGACAAAATCTACTAAACACGCGAGTGTAATACGACAATCCGGGTTCGACCATAAGGCCCCCTGGAGGTTCAAAGTGACGAAATGGAGCTGTTGTCTACACTTGGGTTGGTTGTGTTATCTATGCTGTTGGCGAAGCCGCACGAGTCGTTCCACGCGCGCCGGAAGAAGCCACTGCCGGCATCGTGCTTCCCCGCCCTGTCGTTGACGAGTTTTACGCACCGAGCGGCGCGAGGGCTCACAAGGGCCACGACGAAACACAACGCTCGCCCGCCACACCCCGGAGGGTGGGCCTTCCGTCATTTTGGCCGTGGCTGATGCTATAACCGTCGAGATCCGTACTCTTGAGCAACCACTCTACCCTTGGAGCGATAAAACTACCACAAATTTCAGCTGCGCCAGAAGCCTCCCGCACCCGAGGGTGCCCGCACCCACTTGACAAGGGGCGCGGCACCCCCCGCGCCGTCCAGCCTGGCGGTGCCAGTCTGAGCCGACGCGCGGGGCGCCAGGGATGCAAGTACCCCCAGGAGCGGGAGGGCGGGGCGAAAGCGCGCGCGCCGTCCGCCACGGCGGGACGCAAGCGCACATGCCTGCGAGATGCAAGCACCAACGCCTGCACATCGCACGACCCCGAGGCGCGCCGCGAACCGCCCCGACGCGATCCCCGCGGCGCGCCTGCACGGGGCGTTCGACGCAAAGCGAGCAGAAGAGCAGACTAGCCACGCGCGCGACGACGCACCCCCCTCGCGCGCGGGCCCTTCGCGCGGGGCCGCGCGCCGCGAGGCGCGCGCCGTCGCTCCCCCCCCCCCCCCTCGCGCGCGCAGGCCCTTCGCGCGGGGCCGCGCGCCGCGAGGCACATGCTGACGCCCCCCCGCCTCGCGCGCGCGGGCCCTTCTCGTGGGGCCGCGCGCCGCGCGGCGCAGGAAAGCGGGAGGCGGCCCGCGCGCCCAGCTTGCCCGCCCGCGCGCGGGCCAGGCGCGGGCGCGAAATTTGTGCACGCGCACAGCGCAGCACAAGCGAGCGCGCGCGCTTTCGATGGCGTTGGGCGCCCACCACAAATTCCAGCTGCGCCAGAAGCCCCCCGCACCCGAGGGTGCCCGCACCCACTTGACAAGGGGTGCGGCACCCCCCGCGCCGCCCAGCCTGGCGGTGCCAGTCTGAGCCGACGCGCGGGGCGCCAGGGATGCAAGTACCCCCAGCCGACGCATGCTGGTGCACCGCGCAGCGGCGACGCGCGCGGCACGCGCACCCCTTGCGAAACGGGTGTTGCGCGCGGCGGCGCCGCGGTGTTGTGACACGCAGCGGCGGAGGCGTGCGCGCGAGGGCGTCGCGCGACGCCTGGGTCGCCATTGCCTAGGCAAGTTCGTCCTCGGACTCAGCTAGATGCGCCTCGACCACGGCGCCGAGTTCGAGTTGCGTCAAATCGAGGTACGACAGGAACGCGGGCGAGGACCATTCGCCCGCTTGAAGGATCTCGCGCAAGGTGCCTCCCCTCTGCTGGAGGTCCAGTGCGTGCCCGCGCCGCAGGTCGTGCGTGCGATAGAGCGCCGCGTCTTTGACGCCGAGCTGACCGAGGAGAAAGCGCAGCGTGCTCAGCGAGCTGGCCGCGCTAATGTCCGCGAACGGCCTGGTGCCCACGGGCAGGTCCGCGAACCATGCGCCGAGCGCGTGGACCGGGCACGTCTTGGTGCAGCGCGCGCACCAGCGCGCTCGCTGCAGCACGGACCCGAATTGCTTGTTCTTGCGGCGCGCCAATTTGAGCTGCAGGAGGCCGTCGCACAGAATGAGGGAAGCCCCTGCGCCCTGACGAAAGGCGACGCCGTCGAACGAAATGCCCAGGGCCTCCGAGGGAAGGCGCAAGAGAAACACGTACGTGACAAGAAAGAGCTGCGCGAAAACGGCGGACTCGTGCCGCTCTTTTGCCAGATTTAGCAGCGCGCAAACTGCGTCCTCCCTGATGAATAGGGGCGCCCTGGGCAGGAAAGCGCCGCGCTTGCGAATCGCGCATTTGGCGCGGCGAAGGGGCGTGTCACGAAAAACGTCTACAGGGAGATCGCAAACCTGACAAGCCAGCTTGACGTGAGAGACATAATTGGAAAAGGTCTGGTCGGAGCGAAACAGCAGCGACCACGCGAGCAACCCGTCGGCAGACGGCGGCAGCTCGCGCCCGCGCAGCGCAAGAGCCTCGCGCGCGAACGCGATCCATGCTGCCACGCCGCTCTTGAAAGAGGCGATGGAGCGCGGGCATGCGCCCAGGAGGGCCGCTGCGCGCGCCGAAGACAGCCACTCAGCGACGCTCACTGGGCCTTCCTCGCTGTCAAGCCGCCGGCGAAGATAACGGAGCTCCGCGCGCGGGCCCCCGCCGCACTGTGGCGCGCGGGCCCCCTGCGCCTCCGCAATCCTTGTCTCGAGGAGCGCGTCAACGGCAATGCCCCCGGCGGCCTGCGCCCGCGCCGGCACCGGCCTCTGGACTTGCGCTGCCTCCTGCGCGCGCACGCGGGCGCGATGCAGCAGGGGCGCGGCGCGAAGTGCGCGAACCTGAAGGCTTGACGCGAGTGCGATAGCTTCCCGAATACAACGCTTTTGGCCGCCGTCGAGGTCCGCGCCCAGGAATTGGAAATCTTTGAATTTGGCCCCAGCGAGCGCGGACGGGCGCGACACGCTTTCGGCGGCGAGCGCCGCCGCGATCGCATCGAACCACGCCGCATCGTGCCTGCCTTGGCCCGCGGCTCTCTCCAGGAAGACACGCATGGAAGCGGCGTGCCCGGCCATTGCCGTTCCGACGGTCGGCGCGCGCCAAGCAATGCCTCTGCCGCCGAGCCCTGCTTGCCGAGCGCACGTGGAGCGGCTGCGCTACGCGCGACCTTCGCGGACGCAACACGAAAACGAATAAAACAACTTTCATGCGCGCGCGCCGACGCAAGACGATCTGGCGCGCAAGCCGAACTGTCGGCCGACGGACGCTCACGCGCGGCGCAGCGACACCCGCGCGGCCGAAAGAGATGCCCAGGCATCGGGCTTCCAGAATGCCTCGCTAAGACGCGGCAGCACGAAAGAAGCGCCGATCTCGCGAAGGAGCCAGCACTGCTCCCGCGACGGCAAATCGGCAACGTTTAGCTTCGAGGGGACGCGGTCGACGCGGAGCGAGACGCGCAATTGCGCCGCCTGCAGCCACAAAGAATTGATGAGACACGTATAGTCCCACTCTTTGGAAGCGCCTTTCCGCGTGGCAGCCTCGGCACCGACGTTGTCGGACCAGAGGCGCACGCGCCTGCCCGCGAGCGCGTTGCTGAATGTGGAAAGGCCAAACGCGATCGCAAGAAGCTCGAGGGACATAATCTGCGCATCGCCCCTTTGCTTGAAATGGCGCAGAACGCAATCGGGGGGGGGCCCAATCGGAGTAGGAAGCCCGCCCGTCGAGGAAGAGCACAGCCGCGACGCGGGGCGGCGTGCTGCGCGCGTCGACAAAGAGCTGCGCTGCCTCGCGCTGATCTGGTGCCCAGACACGGGTCTCGCAGAGCTCCAGCGCTAAGACTTCTGCCCACCATTCGAGTGCGACGCGCAGCTGCTGCGGCACCACCACGCCGCACTGCTTCGAGTGGGCGAACAAGGGCCGGATGAACGCGCGCCCGATGCGATGGAACATGCCCGAGCATGCCCACATCAGGCGCCCGCAAGCTTTGCCGCGTCCCCTGGCCGCAAAACGCCCGAGGAGAGCGCGTCGCCAGTGCGACCGCGCCACTTCTCGACCTTGTCGGGCGACGGAGTGCACGAGAAACCGCCGTGGTCTGCGCGGGCCTGAAGGCCCAGGACGACAAGCGGCATGCCCGCGGCGACCTTGTCCGCCGCGATTGCAGAGGGGCCGAGGATGCAGCGCACGAGCCGCACGATGCACTCGAGCGCATGCTCGGCGCATGCCGCGCGCTCGGCGCCAAAGAGGTCATCGACGAAACGCAGCATGGGAATGAACAGTAGGCGACGCACAAGGTGCGAAATGAGCGCGCCGACCCTTTCCCACGCATGCACGGACGCGACGGCGCCGAAGGGCATGGCTAGGTGCCCTGCCACATGGGCCACGCCCTGCGCGAGGAAAACGAAGAACAGGAACCGGCGATGCATCGGCATGGCGGGAAGCCTGCGGAAGGCCGAGTCAATGTCGGCTTTGTAGAACATGATGCGTTCGCGCGTGCCCTGCGCCACGCCCCTGGCGACGCGATACAGCGCATCGATGGACTCGGGGCGAAACTTTTCGCCTGCCGAGGTGCACCCGTTCACTTTCGCGCGAGTAAGATCGTCAACAGCCCGAACGCGTATGTCGCCATTGGGCCGCGTTTGCACAACCCCGAAGCGCGGCGACAAGACGTTTGCACTGAGGTCGGCCTG